TCTGCGACATATACACATGTGCTCGATGAATCGGGTGGTCGTGCGCGGTAAACGCCTATGGGCGGCCACCGTGCGGTGCGGCGTACATACGCTGCATATCCGTATACTCGACGCGTGGAAGAGTCTTCCGCAAACAGCGTCCGTCTTGCTTCAGTATGTTCGCCCGCAAAGGGTTAAGGAGGGGAGGTCGGCTACTTTTCTTGGAGAACAGCTGGTAAGAGGGGATAGATTACGTTTGTACACGGCATCGTTCGTTGGATTTATATTTAAATATACGCTGATCAATTTTCCCATTTAAATATACGCTGACCATATCGATTATACAGGGTGTCCCAGCCTAAGTGATACAGAGCTCTAACTTCAAAACTATCGGCCGAATGCAAAGTTTCAAATACGAAAATTACATGGTGAAATGGGACTCATGTTTCAGCGAGAAGGAATTTTTGTTAACTTTATTATTTAACGAGATATGATGGTCAAGTTTCGTTGTTCAAATGGAATATATATAAATATATTTTTTTGATATCATGCGATAGTACTTTTCAAAACGAATTCATTAAGCTTTAATGTATTAGGTTGTCCCAAAGTTTCTTTCGCTTTATTAATAAGTAATACATACACAATATTTTATGTCTAATGTTACATTATTGAATTGTGTACGATTCATTTTGCTCCATTACTGTTACAACATCACATGTAAGAAATTAGATTGTTTATTTATATAATCACTACCGCGCAAAATCATTGAGTGCAAATTACGAAAGAAACTTTTGGGACAATCTAATATTTACTCGATTTTTATTAGTTTTGGGACAACCTGTATACTCACGTTAAAATTCCATTCGCGTTAAAAGAAACCTCGAACACCGGCCGTATACCGGCGGGCTCTGTCTTAAAGTATCGAATTTTCGATCATCTCTACGTATCTCTAATCTCTACACTTTGCAGGGTGCGTCGAAACGCAAACGCGAACATGTAACGAACGATCAGATGTGCTACCTATCAGCAGATACGTACGCGAGATCTGTTACCATCAATGTTCGCATTTAACATTCGGTAAAAAAAACTTTTCTTTGATTAGCGATATGTTGGAATTCTTGAGAGAGAGCGCGTCTTGTTTCAACGCGTTGCCGAATAATAGAATGATTTTTTTATCGTATGCAGAGTATCTCCAACGAATCGTAAATCGTACCAAAGTACAAACTCGAACTTGACGCGACGCGACGCGTCGCTACGTCAACGGTAGATGGCCTGTCCAACGGTTCGCGTCGACATCACGACGTCTACAGGGTGTCCCAAAAGTCGGGGAGGAGCCGGAAATGGGGGGTAGCTGAGACGATTCTGAACAACAATTTCCTTTGGAAAAATGTCGGATGGGGCTTCGTTAAGGAGATATTAACCGAAAACCT